GGTGGAGCTCAAGAACCTGTATTTTAAGTAATGCTCCAGGTGATAACTTTATAATTTTGTGTATTTGGGAGACCCTGTTTTGGTGCTCTGTGCCAAAAGTTCCAAAATCAAACAGTTTCCGGCCGCAGTAAGCAAAAATACCTAGAATATAAGTGACCATTTAGGCTGATTTCTGTGGTTAGTTAATGTGCTAGAAATGTTAAGTAGTTTCAGTCACTGGTCCCAGGGCCATTGGAATTTATTTCCTCGAATGAGTAGTTAAGTTAGTAAAAACAAAGCAGTTACCATTTACAGATCATTTTTGGTGCTAAGTATTTTTTTCCATTTAGGGCCTCATTTAATCCTAACGGTAATTCCCTGAAAGTAGATACTATTATAACTATTAAGAAAAGTGACTTGCTTAAAGCCCTGAAGGACAGGGAAGCTATGAAACTAATTCTTACTGAGGAAAATAATAACAGACTCCCCCCACTCCCAGAATTTTAGTTATTAAAAAGTGAAACACGCCCTAGCTGGTTTGGCTCAGTGGATAGAGCCCGCAGACCAAAGGGTCCCGGGTTTGATTCTGATCAGGGTATCCTACCTTGGTTGCAGGCTACTCCCGGGCTGGGGACCTGGTCAGGCGTGTGCAGGAGGCAACCATTCAATGTGTTCCTCTCACATCAGTGTTCTGTCTTTCCCTCTCTCTTCCACGCTCCCTAAAAATCAATGGGAAAATATCCTGGGGTGAGGATTTAAAAAAAAAAAAAAGAAGAAATACAAATTCTCAGGGCCCCACACCAGACCTATGGAATCACAAACTCTGGGGTTTGGTCCAGGAGTCTGTATTTTAGCAAGTTTTTTGTGATTCTGATGCATGCTCAAGTTTGAGAATTGTTCACTTACCCCTACCATGCCATCAGGTGACCTCTCTCAGATGCTCACACCAGGTAAAGGGAAAAGGTTAAAAAAAGAAGAGATTCTTTTCATGTTACTGATGTAACAGATTATGGGATATGCCCCCCCCCCTTTGGTGTTCTAAATTGTCAGACTCTAAAGGCAAACTATAAACAAAATATACAATAGAATGCTCTTAATTTAGTATGCAAAAGGACTGTCACTCTATGATCATCAGAAAAGGTTGAAACTGACCTTTGTAAAATAGATAACAGGAAAAGTGAGGTATGCTCGAATGTGAGGTTATTAATTGTTCGAAAACACCTTTCATAGAATTTCATTATGTGGACGAAAAAAGATTTTTATGGAAAGTATAGCCTCCCAAGGTGATCTGTTCATTAATTCCTAACTGGGCGGGTCATGGCGGGTTGTCATGCCCCAGGCATATAACTTTTATAGTGAAAGGTTTATCTTTGCCTTAAATAGTCCCTGTCCATTTTTTGTGTGCATCTAGGTTATCACGACTTTGAAACAAGGGTAAGCCCCCTCAAGAGAGCACATAATCTTTTTTTCTCTCTCTTTTTAAATCTTTATTGATAAAAGTATCACATATGTTCTCGTTTTTTCCCCATTGACCCTTTCTAGCCTCCACCCACCCCCTGCCCCAGGCCTTTACCACACTATTGTCTGTGTCCATGGGTTATGCATATATGCATACAAGTTCTTTGGTTAGTCTCTTCTCACCCACCCACCCCGTCCTTCCCTCTGAGATTCATCAGTCTGTTCCATGCTTCTATGTCTTTGGATCTATTTTGTTCCTCTATTTAGTTCTTTAGATTCCACATATGAGTGAGATTATGTGATACTTACCTTTCTCTGACTGGCTTATTTTGCTTAGCATAATACTCTCCAGGTCCCTCTGGACTGTCTCAAAGGGTAAGAGCCTTCTTTTTTTACTGCTGCATCGTATTCCATGGTGTAAATGTACCAATAATGAATTCTCATAAAGAGAAACTAGGGGGGAAAAAATCCCATTTACCATTTAACAAACAAATTAAAATACTTAGGAATAATTTAAACAAGGAGGTAAAAGACTTGTACTAAGAAAACTACATGACATTTGAAAAAAGAAATACTAGTAGAGAAAGATATAAAGAAGTGGAAGAATATACTGTGTTCATGGACTGGTAGATTTAACATAATTAAAATGTCCATACTACCCAAAGCAATCTATAGATTCAATGCAATCCCTATTAAAATACCCATGACATATTTCACAGATCTAGAACAAATACTCCAAAAATTTAGATGGAACCAATAAAGACCCTGAATAGCCGCAGCAATCTTAAGAAAGAAGAACAAAGTTGGAGGAATCACAATACCAGATATCAAGTTATACTACAAAGCCACTGTAATCAAAACAGCCTGGAACTGGCACTAGAACAGTTCAATGGAACAAAACAGAGACCCCCGAAATTGACCCAAGCCATTACACTCAATATTTGACAAAGGAGGCAAGAACATACAGTAGAGTGAAAACAGTCTCTTCAATAAATGGTGTTAGGAAAAGTGGACAAATACATGTAAAAAAATGAAACTGGACCACCAATTTACACCATACACAAGAATAAACTCAGAATGGATAAAAGACTTAAATGTAAGTTGTGAAATCATAAGAATCCTAGAAGAAACCAGAGGCAGCAAAATCTCAAACGTCTCTTGTAGCAATATGTTTGCTGATACATAATCTTAACTATTCAGTTATCCAATCTCTTCCTTACTTTCTTCTACCTTCATGTAATCTTCCTTATGTTACCTCCTTAATTTCAAATGCATAAAAGAAACTGCAAAACTGTCATTCTCCGAAAATTTAAGATGTGTCCCAGCAATTGTAGTCAGTTTGGCATAATATCTTATTGAAATTTTATAGGTTTGGACCTTCTTAACCCATTGTATGCCATAAGCGTCTAGATGCAAGCAGCGGACCTTCCCCACATGTCACGCGCGTCTGTAATAAAAAATGTTTTCCCTAAGTGGCAGCCCTGACCAACTTTAAAATCATTTTTCTCGAGAATTTTCAGCTGAAAATATTCAAGAACACCCGAATTGTGAGTAATATATTTATTTTTATAATATTCATTGCAAATTGATTTTTTAAATTAAATTAAGAATATTGGGCGGGGGGAAAAAAGAGACATACGTAATACTCTTTGTAATACTTTAAGCAATAAAATAAATAAATAAATAAATAAATAAATAAATTCAAAATATTATGGCATGTGGGGATGGTTTCCATTTTGGATGCGTGGCAGTTAACTGGTTAAATCTACAATTGCATAGCACATACCAAGTGTCTGGTACTGGTCCATTCCTAAGTATTCTTTGAAAATAATTCAATTATCCTTTATTCATTTTTTTTCTTTAAAAATGTTTTGCACGTTTAACTACATTCTAGGCACTCACAGAACTGGGTGCTGGAAAATACATTGGTGGGAAAAATGGATCTTACTCTTGTTTTCATGGCTCTTACTGTCATGTTGGGGAGAAACATCCTATATAATAAAAGCCTAATATGCAAATCGACTGAATGGAGGAACGACCGGTCGCTATGATGCACACTGACCACCAGGGGGCAGACGCTCAATGCAGGAGCTGCCCCCAGGCCACAGGCCCCAGGCCAGCCAAGGCAGGTGCCAGCAGGATCCCCCCCACCCCCCGATCGCCCAGCTGGTCACCCTGCAAGGGAGGTGACCAGTGGGGTGGGGGGAGGGGCTGGTGAGTGGGCAGCGCCGGCTGGCAAGGCAGGTGCTAGCGGGGGCCCCTCCCCCTCCATAGCCCCGCCAGTCGCCCCAAAGATCGGCCCTGATCGCCGGCTAGGTCTAGGGACCCTACCCATGCACAAATTTCGTGCATTGGGCCTATTGTTAACAATATTATCATATAAATATATAACTATGAACTGGTAAATAACTTGAAAGAAAGGTACAGAATGCCATGGAGCATATAACCAATAGCAGTGGATACTGAAAAACACCCAGGTCTGAGTTCCATTACCAATCATCCCATTGCCAGTGGAGCCAGGCTTACTTCTTTAAAGTGTTTAACTATAGTAAACTGGCATGTCCTTTGAGACGGTTGGAACAGTTTGTATTCTGCTTCAGAATTAGGTAAAGTCATTGCAGATTCACTTACATTTTTCTTTGTCATCTAGGAATGGGCCAAAAAGGGGATTGGTGATTGGAGAAGAGCAAATGTAATTAAATTTCTTAGAAAGTAGAAACTGACATCCCTGAAAAATAGCAATAAAAGTTATTAGTCCACTGTAAAATAGAAAAGACCTGAAGTTATTTTAACTTGACATTTAACTTTCTATTACAGAGACAGTTGCTTCTGTGGCATTATTGTAATACTCTGTCATGGGTAACTTCATTTCCTCTGTGTGCCTGAGTAGAGCTATGTGAAGCACAAAGTCTTTGCTGGGTTTTTAAAAACTGTTTAGTGCTCTGGTCAGTGTAGCTCCATTGGTTGGAACATCATCCTGTACGCCATGGGTGGGGAATGTCCAGCCTGCAGGCCATATAAGGCCCCCCAAATCATTTGGTCTGACCCTGCCAAGGCATTAGGGGTGAGTTAATTAAATGTTTGACCAAATATGGCAGGCTAATTTTTAAGTTGATAATTTTGTGTGGTCCACGAATGATGTTATAAATATCCAAATGGCCCTTGGCACCAAAAAGGTTTCCCATCCTTGCTGTACACTGAAAGGTTCCAGGTTCAATTCCCAGTCAGGGCACGTACCCAGTTTGTGGGTTCGATTCCCAGTGTGGGCTCTGTTGGGGTTTGTGCTTCTCACTCTCTCCCCTCTCTCTAAAATCAATTTTTTAAAAAACTGTTGGGTGTTATTTGATGTTCATATAGTGTTCCTTTTCTTTTCTTTTTTAGTCCCTTCGCAAATCAAAGATCAAGGTAATGAGACTCAATTATATTTTTATTATTTCTAAAATGATTGACTGAAAAGGATTACAATATTGTACTTAGAGCAGGTCAACTAATTAAAAACTTGAAAGCATACATACCATTATTAATATTTTTCCTTTTGGCCGAAACCGGTTTGGCTCAGTGGATAGAGCGTCGGCCTGCGGACTGAAGGGTCCCGGGTTTGATTCTGGTCGAGGGCATGTACCTGGGTTGTGGGCACATCCCTGGTGGGAGATGTGCAGGAGGCAGCTGATCGATGTTTCTCTCTCATCAATGTTTCTGACTCTCTATCCCTCTCCCTTCCTCTCTATAAAAAAATCAATAAAATATACTTAAAAAAATATTTTTCCTTTTGAATAATTAATAATTAAATAGTTAAAATATCAGTGAATCCAATAATGGATTGCTTTTAGACCCAGATCAACAAGTGGTTGGCTGAATATTTTTTCCCTCAAGAACTTGATGAAGCAAGTAGCAATTTATTTGTATAGACCTTTTGATCATTTTAAAGCCATACTTATTTTCAGTGAAAACAATTTGATTAAAGAATCTTCAAATAAATGTCATGGATATCTTACCTGATAAGAGAAGACTTTCAAACAAACTCCAGATACTGTCAACATAGCCATAAACAATTTTAAAGACTATTTAAATGGCCTGGCCAGCATGGCTCAGTGGTTGAGTGTCAACCTATGAACCAGGAAGTCACAGTTCAATTCCTGGTCAGGGCACATGCCCAGGTTGTGGGCTTGATCCCTAGTGTGGGAGGTGCAGGAGTCAGCCCATCAGTGATTCTCTTTCATCATTGATATTTCTATCTGTCTCTCCCTCTCCCTTCCTCCCTGAAATCAATAAAAATATATTTTTTAAAAAATAGCTAACAAATTTTATTTTTTAAGAACTTATTGTGAAATCATGAGTGGCTGTTTGTTTTGACTTGTACTTGGGTGTAATTAGGTGGACTCCTTACTATGGTCAACTCTCGTTACCAGATAGTGAATTATATGTCATATACCTCATCTGTAGTAACCTGTATACTTTGCCACTTACAGCACATTTGTTTTTCTGTTTTTCAGGGATGTTGAGAATGAGGGAGAAGTAGGCAAGAAGTAGGCAAAAGAGTTTTGGTTTTGGGGTGAAATTCTTTTCTACAGCTGTTTTATTATACTATTTTTCAAAATTACAAAATACCAATAATATATGAATATATATTCTCTTTGTTTAAATTTCAAGCAACACATAATTTGAACAGAAAATTAGTCTCTTGTTCAAGCCACCCCCAACCCATTCTCCTGTTCCCAAAGGTAATCCTTAGGTACTTGTGTCTATCCTTTCAAACTTGTTTTCTTCATTCATGTACTCATACATAATAGAGGCATTTTTGTGATTTGTTTGTTTGCATACATGAAATTAAGCTCTATATATTGCTCTGCAACAGTATGCCTTGGGGATCTTTCCATGTCAGTTCATAAAAATCTACCTTATTCATTTTAACAAATTGCAGAGTATGGGTGTAACATAATTATGTTAATCATTATCTTACTGGTGGATTTTCTGGTTGTTTGCATTTCCTAACTATGATAAAAAATGTTGATAAGGGTAGTAACTTATTCAGAAAATGTAGTGTATTCATACCAATTATTTTCATTTTAGAAACATTTTTTTATCTGGACTTTGGCCATGCTCAAATGTCAGTCCTTGTGAATAGAATTAATTTTTAAGACAGTAGATAAATCTTCCTGACTTAACTGAATCTCTTTTTCTCTTTCTCCCTCCTCCCCTCCCTCCCTTCCTCCCTTCCTCCTTCCCTCTCTTTTTAACTTTTGAAAAGATAATACAGCAGGATTCACTAGGAGAGAATCAACTACAATTTGAAGTCCTGCATCATTTCTCCCCCATCCATAAGCTAATGATCCTTATGACAGTAGGTAACTTTTGTTAGGCACTAAGTGCCAGGCTTTGTTGTAAGTACTTTACACACGTTAATATTAATTCTCATAGAAGAATTAGGAGGTAGACAATTAGTATCCCCATTTTGTTAATGCAGAAATTGTCAGTCTTTCTGATACTGGAAAAATGAGAGGACTTCCACATGGTGTACCTGAAAGGCCTGGACAGTGAGTCCTTATTCCGTGTGTGGTAAAAGAAAGCAGTGCAGCTCACCAAGGCCCAGTGGTCACAGCTCCCAATCAAGAACTGCTCCAGACTTCATGGGGGGTCCAAGTCAGGATGATCAACTCCTCTGCTTTGCCCCAGATTTTCCCACTTGCCCTCTTTTAGGAAACTCAATCCCTCAGTCCTGGGTGAACCTAAATGGTTGGTCACCCTAGTCCAAGTAGTGTTCTTTTCTCTTTTTTTTCTTTTTTTAAACATTTTTATTGATTTCAGAGAGGAAGGGAGGGGGAGAGAGAGATAGAAACATCAATGATGATAATCATTAATCAGCTGCCTCCTCCACGTGCCACACTAGGGATCAAGCCGGCAACCTGGGCATGTGCCCTGATATGGAAACCAACTGTGACTTCCGGGTTCATAGGTCACACTCAACCTCTGAACCACGCTGGTGGAGCGTAATGTTTGTTTTGAGGAAAGGTGAGAGAGAACATACCTGGAGCAGGTGGGTGATAGCTCTGTGTCGTGGTCATCAATGAATTTGGCAGGAACTTCATTGTGAACCATTGGCAGTGGGTATCTTTTTCATAAACCTAGCTGTATAAATGGTAAGGTCAAGGTTGCTGATCTCCCCTCTCTAAAGAGTCACTATGGTACTCCCTGTGAGATAGGAAAAGATTAAAAAGGAGAAGAGGCCTACCACCTGGGTTGCGTATATCAGAACACAAAGGATTTTGAAGAGCAACCAAACCACACAAACTCCCTGACAGCAAAAGTTCCTGTGTTGTTTTTCTCCCCCTGATTGTTAATGTCAGGCAATTTAAGTGCAATGTCCTGCCTTTACCCATAAAAGGCCTACTAAATATCCCACTCTTCCTTGTTTCCTTGCAGCCAGCAGTCCAAGCTGCTGCATTATCTGTGTTGCACAGATTTATGTGTGTTTTTTTTTGGTATGTGACCTGGAATTAACCTCATTACAACAAAGATGAAATGTCCCTTTAAGAAAAACTTTAAAAAGCAAAAAGATTGCATTTTTTTCCTTGAACAGTTTGACAAGCTTGTTATATTTAGAGTTCCAAGTAGAATGACTTTTGCTGTTGTAAACTCAGTCACAAATTGCAAAGGGGATCAGAAAACCAGAAACTAGTCATGTTTCTTGGCAGATGGTGGGTGCCAAGAGGGGGAAAGATGGGACCATGGGCATCCTTAACAACAACAAAAACCACAAAACATAGGTCTATTTGGTAAGATTTTATAAAGTCTTGCATGAAAAAGAACTCATTTGAAAATTGCTCCACCTAAGAAATTCTGATAAAAATGCCTGCTCCCAGAAATACAAATAAACAAGTCATCCATTCACTTCGTTATACCAGTTTAGCTCTGAAATTATGCTTAACACAGCACTAAGTGGCTGAGTGAGTGGCATAGTTGACCAAAACTATAGTTGAGAGAAGTACTGTGCAGCTCATAGTTAACAGTGGGAGGCCATTGATTTTGCAACAATTTGTTTCTTTTCTGATTTAAAACAAAAAGTAATTTTTAGGCCCCAGGGGACCTAATCTATTATCAGTGTTCATCCTTTACCAGTCATCCTTTTCCTTGGAACACACCACACTGTGAAATCTGTGCAACGAGGACATCAGAAACCGACTTTAGGGATGTGGTGAGAGATGTGGCCCTGAAAACACTGGGGACACTTTGTCCCCAAGGCCGGGGTCACTTGGGAGGTAGACAGAGCTCTCCGTAGAGATGGGACGTTCTGAACTCTTGATTAGACAAATACATTACAAAACTTGCTACCTAAGACTTTCTGTGGAAGAACTTAGATATACTCTTCAGTGTGTTCTTTTTACCAAAACAATGGACTTTCTGACTCTTTCCAACACATAAATATTGAACATCTCCTCCATAACTCAAAGCTCATCCCCACAGAGTCAAGTTGAGGGTGACTTGGCCTCTTCCCCAGAGGAGCTGATGACTTCCTGACGTCATCTGCTGCTTCACTCTTCATCACTGTGTTCCTGCCACTCGGCTTCCCTGCTCCTCCTCAACCGTGCCGAGCTCTCACTTGCTTCATTGCTTTCCCACTCACTGTTTCTTCCACCTAAATAGATTTTGTTCGCGATATCTCACTTTACTGACTTCCGGATTAAAGTCATCCTCACAAGGGAGGCCTCCCCTGACTCCACCCCGCCCCACCCTCTTTTATTATTTTTTGTCCTGTTTTACTTTTTTCTTTTTTTTGATTTTTTTTAATTAAATCTTTATTGTTCAGATTACATTTGTTCCTCTTTTTCCCCCCCTCTCATGTAAGTTCCATGCAAGCAGAAAATTAGTTTCTTTTGCTTACTGCTATATCCCTGGTGCCTGCAACAGTGCCTGACACCTCATAGATATTCAGTGAATAACTGGAAAGAATGAGTGAGTAAAGTGGTCAAGTAGACTGCTCTATTAGTCACAATCAGGTTGGTGTAACTCAGTGGTTTTTATGCTCCTACATCCTGAAGATCATGAATCAAGTTCTAAGTACCTCAGAAATCTTCAAGGTTAATGGTTTTATTCTATGTCGAGCAAAATACTTAGGGAATGAGGGAGGGTAAACAATAAGCTCTCCATTTCTTCCTATCTCTTTCCTTGTCTCCTTCAACTGCAGCAACTTTGCTTTTAGCAACTTTTTATAGTCGGCTTCCACAATAAAAGTTAGGATTTCCTTTTTGTAAAGACAAGATTTCCTAAGCTAAAATACACTAAACAAACAAAAACCAGAAACCAGAGAAAAAGAAAACCACTCTTTGAGGGAGTTCTGGTGGGAGATGTTAATTCATTGCTTTGTCACTTCCATCAGCTTTCCCAAGGAACCTGGGAGAAGGGTCTGAATTATGTGAGAGAGTCAGCCCTGGTGTCTTGTGGAGGCTTGACTTACTCAAGACAGAACCTGGGGGGGCCATGAAAGAAAGGTGGAGTTTAATGGTTTTAACTATACTAGAAAATAACCTGTAAGGTAATAAGATTTAGGAAATTTTCCTCTCAATCACTTTATATTTCAATGTTAGAGAAATTGAATGAGAAGCAAGTGGCTTTTTTGTAAATATATGAAAGATCTTCCCTGCAAAATCCTTATTTTGAAAGATCAAATTTGCATCATCAACAGAGAAGCTATTAGAAAAACAACAGCACTTAAGGCTTACACAATAAAAAATGGTTTAGATTCTTACCAGTTGTCCACTGTTGACTGTTGAAATGAACAGCTGTGAGCTCTGTGCTCACAGTTTTCACATGGCCCACATGTCCTTGGGGGGATCCTACAGTTGTCATTTAAACAAGCATATCTTTGTCATGTTGGGAGAGGCATCTAATTGCATGCTGTTGGAGTGATGTGATCCTGGGTCTGTGCTAGGCAATTGGGAGCATTCAGTACAGTTCAGAACATTGTAGGGACTAAAGTTTTCCCAGTCCTTAGTAGTGTCAGTGCCTGGCTAAGGGGAATGAATACATCACTCACCTATATGGCAACACTGTGTGCCTAGCACAGTGCTCAGTACCATGGGGGAATTTCAAAGAAATATGAGATCATGTCCATAATCTTGTCCTGCTGCCTTCTTGGCAGAGTCAAATTTTCTAGAATAGAAGAAGGCTGTTTATTGGTTTTTGAGTACTTTGCTAAACACTGGCTCCAGAATTCCAACTCCTACTCAGATGTTCAGGTGCTGCCTCACTGCCTTCAGTGTATTTTGTATACACTTTCGACACATCAGTCTTCCTACAATAGAAGTAGATTGGATGTAGATTGAAATGGGAATCAGAATCTAGGTCTGGTTTATACCTTATTCTACTCGCAAACAGTAAGAACACCTGTACCATAGAATTATGACAGGGAGCAAATGGGATCATGTATGTAAAAGCAATTTGTAAAGACTAAATACCAATGAAAAAAGTAAAATGTTATTGTTATAAATTCCTTTTTGAAACAATGCCCCCCTCATTAATGAAAACCTTCAAAGGCTACCTATTGCCTGCAGAACCAAGTTCCACATTAGCCTGTTATAAGAGGCCCTCTCCATCATGGCCTATGCCACATATCCTCTATATTGAACTTGTTCTTTAGGCAAACCAAGCATTTCATCATTTCCAGAACAAAGCCTTACTTTTCCATATCTGTAACCTTTGTGAACACAATTCCCTCTTTTTGGAATGCCCTTCACTTATCTTAGCCAATTGAAACCCTACTCATTTTTTAAGGTTCAACTCAAATACCACTTCTCATTCCTTTGTATCAGGTGTGTCACTTGTTTTACTCAATATTGTACTGTGGGTGTATGGGTACATGCACGGTCTCCTGTGAAAGTACAAGGGCTAATTAATGTTTTTTTTCCTAATTCTTTAAACTGCAATTGAATATTATTGTCATTCAATGCAATTGAATATTATTGTCATTCAATGCAACTCAAAACTAGGAAGTTGTTTTATACATCTCTTTTTAGATTCTATTATTATGTTTATAGTCACCTCCAAAAGGCATGCTTATCTATTTGGTGGAACCCTGGGAAAATTCAGGTAATTTATTTATTTTTACCCTTATCTGAGAAAGATAGTCACAGAGATGGAAGCTTTATTTTCTCCCATGAAGGATTCTGCTGAGTTCTGCACAAAACCTGCCCTGGAGAATGTAGTCATTCTCAAAATGCACTTGGATAATGTATTTTGTTTTCAATATGTTGTAGGCGGCAGGACTGGCACCCTGTCTGACCGGTGGGTCAGACCAAACCTGGGTTTAGCAACCTCTTGGTACTTGGATTCTGGCTAGGAAAGAATTCAGAGCAAGATCCAAGCTGTAAGAGAACATTTATTGGGTAAATTACAGAGGTAGGAAAAGTAATTCCTAGAAGAAATTGGCTTAGGAAACAAGTTACAGAGGTAAAGGAAGGGCCCTTGGAGCTTGGGAGTGGGGAAGCTAATGGTCACATACCTTGGGGGGAGGAGAAGCAGGGAGGGAAAAGCATGGGTGTGCTCCCTTGACCTCCAGCCTATGGGCTTTAAGGACTGAGATTTTAGGGAAGGTCCCAGGGGAAGATCTCTATAGAATATTCAGCAGTTTCCCAGGTGTGTCCTGTCTGGGTTGTGCTCTCCACTGATTGGTTGGCTGGCCCCAGGGCAGGTCATTAATGCCCCTGGTCCTGAGGCTGGTTTTGTTGCTTATCTGGGCCTGGAACATAGATGTTATCTCTAGAGAGGAAAAGTCTGGAGGTCCAAACCTCCCTCACCAGTATATGCTAGGGGAGGAAAAGTCACCCTGGGGATGAGGTCCCACCTTACAATTGTCCTTTCCTAGGCACCTGGGGATTTCCACCCTGGTGACCTTCTGTACCTGGCCCTTCTGGCTTGCTCTGCTCATGTCTGTCCAACTTCCTACAACATATTTACCTTGCAAACTATAAAGAACTTCCTTTTTTTTTTTTTTTAATATATCGATTGGTTGCCTCCCGCACACACCTTGACCAGGGCACTAAGGCCAGGGGTATAGAGCCTGCAACCAAGGTACATGCCTTTAACCGGAATCGAACCTGGGACCCTTACAGTCTGAGGGCCGATGCTCTATCCATTGAGACAAACCGGCTAGGGCGATTTTGCTTGCTTGCTTGCTTGCTTGCTTGCTTTCTTTCTCTCTCTCTCTTTCTTTCTTCTTTCTTTTAAAGGGGAGAATGATGATTTTTATTTTTATAAAATATATTTTATTGATTTTTTACAGAGAGAAAGGGAGAGGGATAGAGAGTTAGAAACATCAATGAGAGAGAAACATCGATCAGCTGCCTCCTGCACACTCCCTACTGGGGATGTGCCCGCAATTTTGCATTTTTTTCTGATGGGGTCCACCCCCTAGCCAATCCGTTGTTCTCCAGGCTATACTAACAGACAAGCACCTTCCCTAAGTCACCCTGATTTCTACTGCACATGTGCCTATCTCTCCCTTCTCCTCTCAACAAGTAGCAGAGGGGGGAAGGAAGGAGTGTTAATCTCCTTGGAGGAGCAATGCTGTGTGAACCTTAGCTCCCTGATGAAGCTTCCCAGGTGACCATGCTTACAATGTCTGGCCTCCCCTTTGCTCTCTTCCTATTGTTAATATTAACTAGTGCATTACAATGATAACATTATGATAAAGGAAAAAGTGTCACATAAGGCTCTATGAGTATACTTCTCCTAAGATGTTCTTGTCCCAAACTGTGTAACATAGGCTCAGGGAATGCTTTCATTACTGGGTCTCATGCCATTGATGTAGTCACAGGTAACATGATTTGACAAAAAAGGCCATCTGTGTTTAAAATACCTTTTAAATTCATAAGGGTAGCTTCTAGTTCAAGATGTCAAGGTGAACAGACTCACTCCTCTCACAGGACTAATTTAAAATGCTAGTAGAAGAATAAGAAGAGATATAGCCCACAAAAATGGAGAGCATTATAGATGGTCATGAGCAGATGAGAAGAGGAAAAGCAGATGCTTTAGGAGGTTTATAAGAGAAGAGGAGGAGGAGGAAACAGCACTCTAGAATATGAGAGAAGGGAACTATAAGAATAGAAGTCACCAAGTTGCTCTGGAGAAACTTTGGATTCAGAACTGGAGCATCAGTCCAATAGCCAACAAGTAGAAGTTCTAAAGACAAAACACTCATGATAGAGGAAAGGAGATTGTTAAATAACATCTCCAGAGCTAAAGGCAAATCATCATTCACAGGATCCATAAGATAAATGAAAAAAGTAGGATAAATAAAAAAGGCCCATACTTAGTATTGTTATGAAACCTCAAAACACTAAAGATTTAAAGTGAGAATTTATATCCATACACATTTACTTGAGGTTATACTCCAATTAAAAGAGGGTGAAAGCCAAGAAATAGAAAGAGGTGGGAATCCTATATAATAAAACCCTAAAACGCAAATTGACTGAACAGCGGAACGACCGCTTGCTATGATGCGCACTGACCACCAGGGGGCAGATGCTCAACGCAGGTGCTGCCCCTGGTCGGGGCTGGCAAGCAGGCGGTGCCAGGCTGCCAGCCAAAGTGGGTGCCAGCGGGGGCCCCCCATTACCCACCCGCCGGTTGCCCCACAGAGGGAGGGTGGCAGCGGGGGGTGGGGCTGGCAAGCGGGCGACGCCAGGCCGCCAGTCAAGGTGGGTGCCCCGCCCACTGGTTGCCCTGCAGATTGGCCCTGATCACCGTCCAGGCCTAGGGACCCTACCCTATGTATTGGGAACAGTCTCTTAGATTTAAAAATTAAAACCTGGCAAGGCTACTCTAACCCTGAAAAAACAGGATGATGCAGCAATGATATGCTTGGACTCTGGCTTGCACATTTTGTGGTCAGCCCTGATTCTCTGATTCTGACACTTATAACTATGTGACAAAGCCAATTATTTAACTTCTCTCTGCTTCAGTTTTTCCCCCCGTAAGATGGGGAAAATAGTACTACTGCCTCAGAAGGATCATGTTATGTACTACTTTTTATAATCAGGGCAAAAAAATGTAGCTGCCCATACAACAACAAGATGCCTTTCACCTGTATGAAAAGTATGGTCACTGGTGCATGCAGTGTCCTAGATTGTGAGAGGGCACAGGCGAGCTGAGGGATGCTCCCTGTCCCCTGCCTGTGCACGAATTTCATGCACCGGGCCTCTGGTACATAATAAAGAATTTAATCTTGCCCCATAAGAGGTCAGGCCTTTGCTTTAGCTTCTGGGAGGTAATCTCTAAATTCCTGGAATGTCATGCCTAATAGGAGTGTCTTTGTTTGCCTGGGTAATTCGGACCAGCCTTATAAAAACAATGTGATTCAGGCTGGGGGCTTTGGGTCACACCTTAAGGGGCTGGAGATTCTCCTTAGCCATGTGGGCATACAATCATATGTAAGTAATGGAGGCTCAATAAAAACTCTGAATACCAAGGCTCTGATGAGCTTCCCTGATTGGCAAAAGTCTGTGGTTATTGTTACACATCAATATTGAGAGAGTAAGTGTTCTGACTATGGAGAGGGTACAATGGAAGCTCTGAATTGGGTACTTCCTTAGACTCTGCTCTATGTACTGCTTTCCTTGGCTGACTTCAGTCTGTAGTCTTTCTCTGCAATAAATCTCGACCATGAGTATAATAGATTTCAATACATTCTGTGGGTCCCTCTAGAGAAACAAACCTGGGCATGACCCCTCCGACTTGCAATTGATGTCACCAGTTAGAGTGATCTTGTGTGGGCTGTGTTCCATCTAACCTTGCAGTTAGTTCTCTGCTTCTCAGGGAC